GCCGCGGCCCGGGGGCCCTGTGGGGTGAGGGGGGCCTGGGCCTGCCAACGCCGGCGGCAGGGCAGGCGAGGACAGCCCGGGGCGAGCGCCTGTGCCTCTGCCTGTGCCTCCGCACGCGTGCGCGCCCGCGTGCCTGCAGCGCCCCTGAGGCGGCGTTTGTGGTCTCCCAGCCCCCCCATCCTGGCCAGTTCAGAGCTGCCCTCTGGTTCCTTCACCACCAATAGCTTTACAAAGCTATAGCAGATGGTCTTTTTGCTTACGCGTGTCTGTAAGAGAGCTGTTGTATGTGTTGCGCGCAGCCTTTTTGTAAGAAATGCTTTTTTACTAAAGCAGTAGTTGCCATTTACCTGTTCTTCCTGTCCTTATGTGTCCGTCGGGCTTCTGCTCTTTCAGGGAGCCGGGGGCGAAGCCTCCCCCCACACTGTGCCTTGGGAACATCAGTGCTGCCATGTCCCACAGGGTAACAGTAAAAAGCCCTGCTCCTCAGGGTGTTGCAGGGGCATTAGCTTGCTTCTGCTGGCCTTGGATGTTAAAGCCATTACAAGTTTTTTGTAGTTCTGCATCGCTCACTCAAAAGAAACTTCTGTTCGCCTATTCGATCCATGGCAGGGTTTAAAAGTCCTGATACTCACACCATAAACTAGTTTAATTGCCAAGCTCAGGAGGCGTTGCAAGAGATAAAGGAAGTGGAACGAGCAGGAAACGGGGGACCTGGAAGTATGTGACTACTGGTATAAAAACAAGCGTGGTGCCTCTGCTCGTCTTTGCACTACCAGTGTGCTGTGATGATGGCGGCTGATTTTGAAAGTCCTAGGTGGATGAAGGCTTCTTCACACTAAGAAGGCAGAGGAATAATTAATTTGTTCAAATTTCATACCTCTGCTCCTTTAGGTTTAAATCCTTCTTAGCATGCACTATGTGATATCTGCTTTTCCCCTTTCTGTTTATCTGTGGAGCGTGCTGTGAGGGGAAGAAAAAAGGACTAGCTGGTAACTAGCCAGCCATGGCTTTGTGCCTGGTTTGCTGCGTTAGAGCATCCCTGTGGAGGCAAATCTGCAAAAGCCCCAGTCCCACTGCGCAGTCCAGTGCTCCTGTGCCACGGATGTGCCTTTGCTAACCCCCTCCCTGGCCCTGCCATGTTTGCTCTGCTGCCCTTTGCCCGTTTTCATCTATGCTCTCTTTTATCCCATTGGCACCCAGTTTCACAACGGGGTTCGATGAGGACCCATTGCAGCCTGTGAGCAGCCTCCGGGCTCTGCTGCTGGCTCATCTCTCCCTGCCCTGGTTTCCCCCTTCACTTGTAAAGCTTCCTGCTAAGGCACTTTGAAATCTGCATAAGGCGTAGGCATTTACATTTATATCTTTTAGAGTTAATATTGCTGTTTATTCTGATGGTGGGTAATTGCTCCATTCCCTGCCGAGATGTCGGCTGCGAAAACTCAGAGGTTTTCCCTAGGAGGAGAAGCCTCTGTGGCATCCATCACCCTGCATTTCTGTGCTCTCTGCCCACAAAGCTTTCAGTAACATGCATGTAATCCCTCCTGCCCTCTTGCTGTGATTATAAACTGTTTCCAGCCACTCTGGGCTGGGGCAGGAGGCCTTCATCATGCACTTGTGTTCTCTTTCAGAGCCATCTTTCCTCCTCCTCCTCCTTGTCCCGGCTGCCTTGTGGTGCTGCCGGTGCCTGCCTGCCTGGCAAGTCAGAGCATGTCCAGACCCTGTGGACGAGACGCAGAAGATGGCAGAGCTGCTGAGGCTCGGGGACGAGTGCGGGGAGGGGGCTTCGGGGGCTCCTGCACTCTCTGGCTCCTGCCTTGCCGACAACAGGCTGAACCTGGATGTTTATCCTGACGGCTGCCACCGGTTCCTCCAGCTGTTCAAGGGGCGACAGGGAGAGGTGGTCCAGGTGGAGTTCCTCCGGCTCAGCAGCAACGATCACCTCCTTGGCGCCACGCTGGGCATCCTTCCTCACCTGAAGCACCTGAAATCCCTGGTGCTCAAAGGTAAATTCCTGGGCCCGCCACCATCCAACTTTTCTAGGCTCAGCTTTTTTTTTAATCCTTCTCTCCACACCTGCAGGACAAACTGCCCTTGGAATTGTTTTGTTCTAGTGCCCCTTACTACAGCTTTGGCTCTTAGGCTTGCTCAGAGCTGCATGCAGATTTCAACAAGATACAGCTTCTAGACTCTTATTTCCTTCCTTTGTTTCTACAGCTGCCTGGGGACCGGTTTTTGGAGTCTGGTTGGGTTGATGCTGCAGCATTTTCTTTAGCCATCCTCTAGAAGAAGAACATTTTTTTCCACAGTTACGCAAGGAGAGGGGGATTGAAAGGTGTTGGGTTTTTTGGTAAATGTTCAGCCCCTCTTTCATTTTTGGGAGTACGATGAGCTGTCTTTGCTGCATTTCCATCTGAATCAATCCCAGCTTAATCCTTGCTTAGTGTCAGTGAGCATAGGTTTAGCAGAGTTCAAGACACACCAGAAGAGGCTGCTCAACATTTTATCAAAAGTATGACTCGGGGTGTGCACGTAATTTGGCAAGCCGTAATAACTGTTAGACCTATAAATATTAGATCATTCTTTGACTTTCTCATCTCTTTATTGTAGGAGGATCTCAATACAAATAGTATGATTTCTGTATCAGATGGAATCATTTGCTCTTTGGGAGGTGGAATTTTAAAAGGAAATGAGAGAAAAAAGGGGGAGTTTGTGGCCAGAATTCAGGGTTCTAGCTGAAAACTGAAAAGATTGAGGTTCATTTCTATATCTGCCACAGATATCTCATGTGAATAATTTCATTTGTCTTTTCCCCCTTTAGTAAGGTGAGGATAACAGCAATACCTTTTATCAGGCGTGTTTTGTGAGAGGTACACACACCCTGAGCATCCTGAAGTGCAATAAAATAGTTTGCTAAGATTTTCTTATGTACAAATGTGTCTGTTAATTTGATTGTTCTCATTTTTTACCACTATGCAGCTAAAAAATGTTTGGTGCCCTCTGCTGTATGTGTATACAAATAGACAACAGTGGAGGGAGAGTAGGAAATGATGAAGAAATGGAGAGTTTTGGAAGTTTCCTTTTATTTGCTCAACTTATTTTCCATGGGTGCAGCCCTTCTCCAGTTTGAGTGTCACAAGCTGGGGTGGGGGACTTGTATCTTTCCCTCTCTGTGCTGTCTGGCCTACACAATACTGAATTACCTGCTTTTTTTCCCCACATTTTCACTGCTTTCCTCACATCTGCTCTCCAGTCTTGCCAAGGGCAGATATCAGTTCCCAGGGCTGTTCATCCCTCAACAGCATGGGCAAAGCCTGGAGGGCAAGGAATGTCTTCTTAGTCCATGAAGTGTTGTGTGTTGGCTGCTGGTGCTGGTGGGGAAGAGGTGGGAAAGGAGAGTGAGAGGCTTGGAGGGGTATGGGCCACCCTGCTGAAGGGTGGTAGATGTCTGGAGCGGCCTGGCTCTTTCTGAGCTTCAACTCCAGATGTGTTTAGCAGAGCTCTACTGGTTGACTGTGGCATCTCTTGATTTCATAACAGGTCCTCACCATTATATCCTTTTTATTGATCAGGAAACTGAGGCAAGGAGCAGAAAACCCACTTCTCTATGAATACTTCAGTATCAGTGCTGCTCATTGTGATCAGTAACTCCCCATCTTCTGGGTCTCTGTGCTGAGGAGTCTCACGTGAGGCTGGTGAGGTACCCCTGTAGCATATTGACTTCTTCCTCCATTTCCCTCCACACCCAGGTGGCCATGCCAGGGATGAGTTTGGTTCGTGTCAGCATGGCTCCCTGACAAGCTTGCCACCAGACATTGGGAACCTGAGGTGTCTCACCCACCTGGATCTCAGCTTCAACAGCCTCTCCACCTTGCCCAGCTGCATCCTCCACCTCCCCAGCCTCCGCGTGCTCCTGGTGAGCCACAACAGCCTGGTGGCACTCCCTGAGGACTTTGGCTCTCTGAGCAAGCTGACTTTCTTCTCTGCTATGAAAAATCAGCTGAAGGACTTACCTCAGAGCATCGGGGAGTTGACAGTGCTGCAGGACCTGGATCTCTCGGAAAATGCTTTGGAATTCCTCCCTGAAGAAGTTGGGAATCTGCACAACTGCACAGAGCTGGATCTCTCTGGGAATCGCTTATCAAGCATCCCAGACTCCTTAGGTAAGTATTTTCTAGGGGAAAAGAAGGACATGGGCTTGCTGAGCTTTTGGTACAGTCTACGACCCCTGAGGCCCTTGGTCTCTGTCCCCAGAGTTCTTAGCACAAACCATCTGTTACGTTAGAGCCAAATGGAAGGGACATCCAGAAGAAACATGCTTGCTTCAGTCAGTCCCTTTGAGCATTAATGACTCTCTGGACCATGCTTCCTGCTTCTGTGGATCAGCAAGACTGCTAAGATTTCAGTACAATTTACAATAGCTGAGTATCTGGCCTGGCTGGTTTTGGGTAGCACCCAGGACTGGAAACAGAAGAGCTGGGGTTTAATGGGATGCAAATCTGGGCTTGAAATTGCGCTGTCCAGTGTGGACCACTCCACGGAACCGGGCTCTGACTTCTGCTGCCCAGCTTCCTGGCTCTTGAGTCCTGTATTACTTTGTGCCCAGGGTTGTCATTGATGCTGTTACAGAAGCATCTTACATCCATACTCGTAGCTGGGTGCTGAAAAGCAGAGGACAGAGAAGGCTGTGTTGCCTCTCAGCTAATTCCCTGGACCCCTTTATTTTGTGAGGTAAAGAGATGTTGGGCTCTTGTGTTTTCCCTTCTTGTGTGTCTTGTGTGCATGTGATGAGGACAGCGGCAGGAGGGTTAGAGCTGATGTGCAATGCAATTAACAGCATGGATGGGGGGTCATTTCTTGTTCTAACCTGAGAGGACAGAGAAGGCTGTGTTGCCTCTCAGCTAATTCCCTGGACCCCTTTATTTTGTGAGGTAAAGAGATGTTGGGCTCTTGTGTTTTCCCTTCTTGTGTGTCTTGTGTGCATGTGATGAGGACAGCGGCAGGAGGGTTAGAGCTGATGTGCAATGCAATTAACAGCATGGATGGGGGGTCATTTCTTGTTCTAACCTGCAGCCAATTTGAAGTCTCTGCGGCGGCTGCATCTCCACAGCAATCTCCTGGTGACGGTCCCTGCCTCGCTTGCCAGCCTGCCCAACTTGTCCAGACTTGATCTGCAGAACAATTGCCTCCGTGCCGTCCCCCCTGAGATCCAGACCTCGCCTTTCGTGCGCCTCCGAGGCAATCCCTTAGGAGAAACTGAGCCATCCCCACAGGCTGGTAATTGCAAGGCTTCTGCTGCTGTGCGTTCTGCCCGGCTGTTCCCTCACTCAGCCCAGCGTGGTGTGGATGGGTTTGGATTAGAGAAGACAAGCAGGGGGGAATCAGATCAGTATTTATTTGTCTGGAATAATTATTAGGTTGTAAGGATACAGACAGTACTAGTTCTGTTTTTACAAGCCCAAGCCCCGTCTGAAGGGCTCAGTGGTCCCTGGAACTGGGCTTGCTAAGGGAAGGTTTTACAGTGGAAGTGAAAATGGGAAATGGATCAGGAGAGGCCCCTAAAGGGGTCCAGCCTTTTTAGCAGAGGTGAGCACCAGTTCTTGGACTTGCTGCATGGCCCTAAGGCTGTGGTGGCTCATGCTAGAAGCACAGAGAGCAGTAAGAGGTCATTCTGCTGTGCAGTTACCTCCTGCTTTCCTGTGGTTTCCATGCTGCAGAGGAGCAGCTCTTTGCCTGAGATGAAGGCGGTGAATGAGCAGGAATCTGAGCAGGGTTTCCCAATGGTGCTCACGTTCACAAGAGCAAACGCTGATTCCCAGGGGTGGTCCCAGGCAATCAAACATGGCCCTGAGATCTGCAGGGCTGGTAGATTGAAATATTTTCTAATTCCCCCTGCTTCTGAGTTTTCCTGGAGGACAGTCAGCATTTCCAGTGCATCTTGGGACCCCTAGGCCTCTTCCCGTCCTCCTGCTGCTGCTTGATCTGAAGCCTGCTGCAGTGTGAGCAGCGTTCCTTTAGCGACTTCTGTCAGATTAGGATTAAGCTAAAACTGAAATGCAAGTTCAGCCTTTCTTGCCTACCTTGATTTAAGTAACCTCTGTCTCCTCCTCCCACCCAAACCTTCTTATTGCCACAGATGAATCCAGTGCCAGAGGGCTACAAAGACTTTTCCTTGCATCAGGAGAGGACAGGTAAGCCTCTCTTATTAGGAACTTATATCACAGTGTTGTAAGAAGGTCCCAGATAAGATTGGTGCATGGTGGGTATTGCGTGTGTGTATAAGAGCTTATGGCCTCAGTAAGCCAGTCCAACACAAGGTAGGAGATTCTTCTGTTGATTTTTGGAGGGCTGAAGTCATTGCACGGTGTCATACATTCATGCATTTCTTCTGGAAGCTTTACTGTCACCTCTGAAGGCTGCAAAGCGGTCCTGGCCTGTGGCATCCATTTCTACTTTCCACCGGGGGCTGCCTCTGGCCCTCTGCGGATCTACTTCCAAACCCTCGCACCGGACCCTCAGTGGGTAAAGCTGAGACATCATGATGTCCTGCTAAGTAGAGTCCTGGAGCTGCAGCCTCATGGAGTCAAATTTCAGCAGGTGAGGACACATCCAGGCCAACTCCTGATCAATCTGCCTCTGCAGTAGCTTGACAGAGTCTTCTGAGAGAGTCTTTTGGGACTTTTGAGACAGCTACCCCCATCACTGTTGCTTTTAAGAGCTGCAGGACTGCCTTTCAAAGAAGCCCTGCTGCAAAGACTCAAAGGACACAGCCTGGCACTGTGCTGGTCTGGCTCCTTTGCCTTCCTCACTACTCCTGCTTGAGCTGGGCTATAACCTTCCTCACTCACAACCCTCCTCCTGTGCCAGAGGATAAATGCTGTTCCAGCATTTGGCCTTAGCCTGCAAGGAGAATGGTTCACATCCTTTCCTAAAAGTCTGATTCTGTGGTTTTCATTCAAGCTGGTGAGTACTTACACCACCAGCCCCGTCATGGCTGACCGCAACTCACTGCAAAAGTTGCTTTGCCCTTTCTGCCCAAAAGCTGCTGAACTTTTCCTGCCGTCACACTACATAGCGGACCTGACATCTACTGTCACCTCCCTGGAGGCTGCAGGTCAGAGCAGGTTCTTATCTCCTCCTCCACTCCCTGCATATGGGCTGTGCTTCGCCCTCCCCCTTCTTGTCTATACAGGAAGCCACAGAGCAGAGCTAGGCTTGGTTTTATCCATTCTATTGGTGTCTCACGGGAATGCTTTTCTGCCAGGAGGTGCAGATCTGGATGCCGTATGCCTCCCCTCAAACCCTTCACCAGCGTGAGGTGGTAGTTCGGACCTTCAGTGGGCAGAGCTGGAGTGATCTGAGAACAAGAGTGGAGCAAAAGAGAAAATCAAAGGTAAGCAGATTGGAATGACCAGTGACACACATCGTTTCTGTTCCTCTCTTTGGTTTTGGCCAGCCAAGAGTGAGCCCGTTTGAAACATCTCATGAGCTGTGTTTTGACCAGCTGTGGTGGATTTCAGCTCCAGGTTTCCTCTCTCATGGAGGTGTGTCTCCTGAAGGTGATGAGTTGCAGCCTGCCATGCTTCATCCCTGTTCTAGTGCTTTCATCTGCTCGGCTGTTACTGGCACTTATTTTCCTGTCTTTATTGTATTATGTTATATGCCTATATGTTTTCTCGTCTTCCCTGTCTTCTGTTACAGAAGCATGTGGCTCACTGCAGTGTCCTTCACTTCTCTTGGTTCCTCGTTGTGTCTCGACTTGTGCAAAATGAATGCAAAGTGCCAACAGAGGGGACATTGCTCTTTTCCAGTGTGGATCCAAACATCAAAGTGACCTTTCCTCCTGGAGTCACTGAAGAGACCCGCAGTGTCAAGCTGCAGGTATGCATGCTTTAAAAAACAAGCTTTGGTAAGCCCTAGTGCAGCTGTTGTCCTGTGCCAAGTAGGGGAGACGAAGGTGAGATGTCCGCCCTAGGGTAATTCGTGTCTGACATGGATGCTTCATGGGCTGACCCATCTCAGATCACCTTCTGTCTTAGCTTTCCTGCCTGCAAAATGGGCTGTGCTCCAAGCTGCCCTGCATGGGAAAGGGATCTCCTCGCAGATCTGCCAGTGCTCCCTCTGGCAGATCAGCAGGTGAAGGGAACACAAGGAGATTTTGCCTCTTGTTGCCTCGGAAAACATACTGAGCCTGGCAGAATAGCTCGGTGAGTGAGATTGGGGTGGGGATTATTTATGTGGATCTAATTCTAAAGCCACCCTACTAAAATTAATTTTTCTGTAGTGTTGCTAGATAGTGCTAAATGCTATTGTAATACTTTGGTCTGTTCCAGCTTGCCAGGTTGACACCAGTGTTAGAACAGACTTCAGCTAAAGTTCACTGTGCTTCCATTTCTCACCGGGCCTTTAGCCAAGAGCAGCATTTGCCTGCTGGGTACTGGGGGCACTGAGTGAGTGATGTGGGAACTTGGGTGCCTGACTGCTCCGCTCACCGTACGATCTTCCACATCCAGGTGCTGCCGGTCTCTGCAGAAGAGATAGAGGAAATCACGGCCGAGGTGGGGTGCAGAGCCAGTCCCCTGCTCTGCCTCTCCCAGGACTCCCTGGTGGATTTTCTGAGGCCAGTGAGAATTCAGCTGCCCCTCCCGCCCGGGGTCACAGGTCAGTTTATTCCCCAAATTGGCAAAGAGAAATGCCATATGCGGAAAACCACGAATGGCAAGCTGGGAATTTTGTTTGCCTCTCCTGTTAATAATAAAGCTTTCTGCTTTTCCTGCAGGAACAGCAAGGTGTGTCTGCTGAGTGAGTGGTGGTGCAGGGTGGTGGGAGCTGAAGGTAGTTCAGGTCCAGCAGACCAGCGCTGGGTTTCACAGACCAGCAGCACAAGCTGGCAGAATGGCCTTGGCAAATGGATTTCTCTGCCGAACTGCATGTGTATTTAGACTGCTAGGTTTGATATGACAGGTTGGAGAGGCACTCTCGCCAACTGAGGAGATGCTTTGTAAAAGGGCTTTGATTCCTGATTGGAAATAGCTTGAAGCAGGTAATGAAGATGCTGCCTCCAGGGGTTTGCCTTCTCTCTTACTTCCTTGCTCATGAATCAGGTGCTGAGCCACTGCAGTTAAAAATGTACGATCATACACTAAGCCATCTCCCACTCTGAATACTGCTATAAACAGCCTCAGCCTTGCCAGGGATTCCTCTGTTTGTGTGCTGAGTATCCTGTGTCTCTTAATTCCTATTTTCTTTGACCTTTCCTGGCTTTCTTGTGAAGAATTAAAAACTTTTTGGGTGCAGCTTGGCTTCCATTGTAACACTATCTGGTATTTGTATGTCTGAAGTGCATCAGGATTGAGAAGTGTGTGGATGTACATTTAGAAAGAGACAGAACTTAATTAATAATCCTAGATATTGGTGATGGGAGTTGTCTAATGAATCTGTTGATGGAAATCAGCACAGTATCAGTTTAAGTCTGCATATTCTGCCAGAATATCCTGGAAGCATTGGTGTAGCCTCATCCTTTTATTGCTGCTCTTCTTTGACCAAAGTTCAGTCCTGGATGCTGAAGAGAAGGCCATGGGCCTTAATTTGGTGCTTTTAAAAAGTGAATCACCCAAAACTGTGGCTGGGTTTGTAAAGCCATGAATATAGGCTTCTGCTGCATATAGCATCTCTTGATCATTATTGTCTTTAGGGCTAAATTTGGATCGGTCAAGGCTGCATCTTCTCCATGGCGACCTGGAGGGCCAAACCTGGGATGACATTACCAGTCAGGTGGTGCTGGAATTCACCCATCTTTATGCAGTGTTTGAAGTCACTCACTTCTCCTGGTAAGTGCAGGATTAGTCCTGAGGAAAAGATGGGACATTCCTCTGCCTTGCTTTTCTCACACTCTGACCAGGGGTCATGCTATTAACCCTGCCTGTTGCCTTTTCCCTTTGTAATTCAGGCCCAGCTTAGCACTTTGTCTCTACCCATCATTTTTTACAGTCTTGTGGGTGTGACACTGGCTTGTCTTCCTAGGCAGGATCCCTCCTTTTTCTTAATTCCTTGTCTGCCAGGTACTGGCTGTGGTACACCACCAAGACCTACATTGGAGGCATTGCCAAGAAAGTCTATGAGCGGCTGCGTATGTACCAGGTGAACTTCATTGCTCTGCAGAGGAAGAAGGACCCCGAGCAAGTCCTGCTACAGTGTGTCCCCAAGCACAAGGTCTGATCTGGGTTGCATTGCCTTGCTCCTGAGCTTCCTGGGCCTCCCTTTGCAGGATGTAAGGGCAGCAGTGCACCAAATGGTCCTGTTCAGTACCCCAGGGTCATGGCTGGGGTATGCTGTCACCACACTGTGTTGGTAGTGTGATACCGGCTCACTGGGAGCTGGGGGAAGAAGAAAAACTCATTCTATATAGCGGTGGATGCCATGCAGTGATTTCCTCCCCTGCGAACCTTGAGGACTGCGCTGCTAAAATCAGCTGGGCCACAGTAACTGGCCATGTGCATGCTGTTAGTGTCCAGCAAACATGAGGCAAAACATGTTGGCTTAAACTTCAAAGATACTAAAGTTAACACATCATTTGTCTGACATGGGATAGTAGTGTGGGCAGAAGCACTGCTTTGGTTTCAGCTGGAGTGGTTAGAAATGGCGCTCTTCCTGATGTTCCTTGCTGTTTACAGTTCAAGCAGTGGAACAGAACATATGAGCCCTCCTTAATCTGCTTCAGTGCAACATCAGGTTAGTTTATGCTGTTAGTTTGAGCTAATCTGGCTGACTTTGTGCGGAAGGAGATGGAAAGCGCTCACACATTCTCTTCTGCTGCCTCTGCCCTAGGCGTATCAGCCCTCAGCAGTTTTGCTTCAGATGTTAGCAAAGTAAGTGTGTATCTGTGTTTGTAGAGCTTGTACCTTGACAGACAGTGCAGCTCAGTGAGGTGAGGGTTATTTTATCAGACTGCCAGAACTGGGCTGCATATCCAACTCTCTGCCTAATCCTCTGGTCTGGTTGCTCCTGTTTTTTCTTTATTTGTTCTCCTGTATTGAAATAACCTGTGGGCATAAACATCTGTAAGAATTCTTTATATCTTTGGGTTCTGGGCTAAAATTTTTTCCAGAGGAGGCAGCAATGGCAGTCACAGTGAGATTGGGGTTTGGGGGTGTCTGTATTCCTGCCAGGGATGGTCATGAGGTAAGAGAGAAGATTTACTGTTACAAATAGAAAGAAGAATAGACACCTTGGCTCTAGGCTGACTCTTGCACTGCCTCTGAGACCCCAGGTCTGACAATGTGATCACAGGCTGCAAAGCCAAAATGAGCTTTCTGGTGTCGTCAGCTGTGTGCTATTGTAGCATGTGGCTTTTTGCAGAGAAAATGTCTTTTGATGGCATACTGTGGGGGGGATAAGTTCTTTGAAGGTTATTGACCTGTTGAAAAGATAGAGAAATTGCTGAAAATGCTTTTTTAATGGCAGCTTTGGGATGGCCTATCTTTGTTAGTCCACATAGGCTTTTCTGCTGTTTACTTGAGAGGAGAAATAGGGAAGCCACAAAACTCAGAGCACCACTTGTCTGTAGTGAATGTACCTGGGATAGGATGGGGTGGGTGTTTCTTTATTTGTTTACGTCCTTTCCGTGCAAAATGGACTTTCCCTGTTCAAGGTGAGTGAGAGGAACGTCATGGGCATAGGGACGTGGGTCAGGGGACAGACGTGCTTCAGACCAAACATGGGATCCTGTGTTGTCATCCTTGTCAGGTTGACCCGGTGCTGAAGAAGCTGCAGGACCGTTATCGAGGACCTGAGCCATCCGACATGGTGGAGATGTTTGAAGGAGAGCAATTTTTTGCAGCTTTTGAGCGAGGCATCAGCATCGATATGGGTATGGTAGTACTGGCCTCCTTTCTGCTCCTACCTCTTGTGCTTCTCTAGCCCTAGGTGTGTTTCTGCTGGCGGCTGTACTCCTCCATGGCATTCCTCTCTGTCTCCAGCTCGCCCATTACTCACAGCAGCTAGCCCATGGACATTGAACTTGTCACATTCTCTGGTCACCCAACTTTTGTGTCTACTTTTCCTTACGAAAGTGCTATTTGCAGGCTTTCGTTTCCTCTCATGCTGTTGTAGCCTGCAGAGGGCAATAGCCAAGTGTGTTTATTTTATGACTGATCTGATTCTGCAGCCAGCTATGCCCTTTTCCTGGCATCTTAGACACCACACTGGAATGCCCATGGTGATCTAATTAATGTTGCCCATTTCTGAGAGAACACATATAAAGATTTTTTTTTTGAGAAGGTATTTCTGCAATAATCCAGAGCAAAGAATTTCCCCTAATGGAGCCATTAGAAGAGAAGAGGGAGCAGGACCAAAACTCAAGGTGGTGTTTTATGCCCTAATGTGTCTGCATCTGTTACAGCTGCAAACTGTGCCATTTTCTGCAAAACCTGAATGTACAGCTCAGTTTCATTGGTGTAAATTAAGCACAACTCTATGAAGAATAATAAAGTGCACTGGTCTTTCAGTGGAGTTCATGAGGCCAGAGTCTGTCCCTCTGTCCTGATTTAGGCTGGACCCTAACTTAATTTCTAGATAATTACATATATATCCATATTGTACCTGGTTATATTTTTTCCCTTTAGCTCTATTCCTATTTCTGCACCCACTGCAGAAATGGTGAAGAGATAGGTGACCTATTTTTGTGCATTACAGGATGTATTGCAGCTGATTCTACCCTCCAAGGGGTAGAATGGACCAAGGATGGGAGGGAAGTGCCGAGGATGGACTTGACTCCATCTGAATGTCTTGCCCTGTCTTGCCTTCCGTTCTTGAACTTGATCTCCACCTTGTGGCCATTCTCCTTTTTCACCTGTAGGACCTGCTTTCTCCACAGCCAGTGTTTTCTGCTTTCCCATGTCACCCAGCAAGGAAGGCGGGGTTACAATTCTTTCAGGCATGAGTGGAAGGAGTAGGTAGTAGCATGGAGGCTGCTTGTAGACGATGGGCTGTTGGCCAGGCTTGAAAAGCTGCAGTTTTCTGCACAAGTTGAGCGTTTGCTCCTTCTCTGCACAGATCGCCCTGACTGCATGGATGGACGTCTCTCATTTATTTTTTACTCCCACTTGAAGAACATGAAGGAAATCTATGTGACCTCCCCTGTAGACAGGAAAGGCCAAGCTGTAAAAGGCCAGGTGAGCAACCAGTTACACTGACTTTTTGTTTCTTCCTTCATCATCATCATTGCTTTTACAATGTTCCTCATAATAATCTCTGAGCACTGGGCATGACTGCTTTCCTCCCTTTTGCATTTCACTGATTAACCCTGAATAAACAAGAAGAGTAGTCTGGAAGGACCACTCATCACTTAGCTTTCTGACTTACATTCCTGCCATTAACTCTTGGGGTGTTGGCCGTGAGTCCAGCCTTTATGGCAGAACCTCAGTGCTCCTCCCAGTTGCACTTAATTGGGAGGCCATATTTATGGACTGAGGATAGGTGAGAAATGCTGAATACATTCTTTCCCAGACAGAAAAGACATGGTGCAAACAGGCTTGTCCACGGTGCTTGAACCTGAGCCTCACTGCATGCTTTCTGTTTGCAAAGGTCTCTTTCTACCGAGGGGCAGTTCCCGAGAGCATCCCTGAAGATGCCAGCAGGAGGAGGAAAGGACCAGACTCCCTCTGGCTTGCTACTCTGCCCATCAAACTGCCTGTGAGTTGTTTTGTCTCCTACAGAAAAATTAATCTAGATGGGGTAAGAGCATGGCCCTCCTGCTTAGCTAATTTTGTCTTCCTCCATGAGAACGGATGCAATGAATGACTGCAAGAAATGGCTGCCCAACCATGTGATGGTGGAGATTTCCCACTCCTTATGACCTCTTCTGAAAAGAGAAACATGGATAGCTGGGAGTGGTCTCCATCTCTCCTGCTCATCTTGCCTGTCAAGCACAGGCTTGTTGGATGGTTGGTCAGAGAGGGTGGATCCTTTGAATGACTGAGAGATGTAGAACAGGAGGAAGCTCGCTGTAATTAAGGGAAGTGTCTGTTTTGTTTATACATTTCTTAGTCACACAGCTGATGCAGTAGGAAAAAAGAAAGGTCTAGGATGAGGTAATTAGGCTGGATTTGAATACAGGCATTGAGTGTAAGTATTCTGGTGTGAGCCACTGGCCTTTAAAGGCTAGGCTGTATGTTACAGTGAGAAATGCAACTTTTGCTTATGGAATTTAATTGATTTTTGAGAAGCTTAAAACAATAAATACCTTTGTAGGCTGAATGCTTCCCTTCAGATCATGTGCCATGATCTCACATCCCTTTCTGACACATGCAGCCTCAACTACAAATCTAGACTAAGTGCTCTCTTACCACTGAGGCAAATATGCTTTGGGGAGATGGTTCATTGAAAAATACTCTGTAAAGACAAGAAAGGAAATTTCCAGTGTGAGCTGTGACCGTGAACACTATGATTTGATATTTTTCAGAGGCAGCGAGCACTGCTGGTTGTTGCCAGTGCGAGTGCTCCTTGCTTCTTACAGCCTGACTCTTCAGCCCCAAGATATTCCTTCCTCCCCAGTAGGAGGAAGGAAATTTCAGTGTGGAGACTGAATGGCCAGACCCTGTCCTCTACAAGAACAATTTGTTCAGCATGTTCTCTCTCTCTCTTCTCCGTGACACAGCGATTGAAACCCCGCTGGGGTGAGAACCCCGGTCCCCTGAACAGCTTCTCCTTTCCTCCCTTAAACCTGGGCAATGCTGAGACTGGCTACCTGACACAGGCAAACCTGCTGAGCATTGCCAGGCGCGTGGGAGCTGACTGGCAGACCATTGGCCTGAACCTGGGCTTGACCTATCAGCAGATTGAGCGCATAGGATACAATAACAGGTAAGACAGGACACAGTGATCAACAGTGATGCATTATATCTATCTATCTATCTATCTATCTATCTATCTATCTGCAGTGTAATAGTATAAATTAATGCTTGGCTGGTTGAAAGGTTTCCCACTGGAATTGTTTCACTGGATAAAAGACGGGTTGACTAATGGTTCTTCTCAAAACATTACCTTTTTTATGGAAAACTGATTATTTTCTCTTGCCTTTATAAAACAAAGCTTTATGTTTGAAAAACAAGATTGGGAAATAACAAACCTGATGAGCTTTGTAGTTCAGATGAGTCGCATTCCTGTTTTGTTCTGTGATCTGGATTCCTGGCCAGACTCCCATCTCTGACAATGAGCAGTGGTCTATGGCATTAATTGTGAATATCATCTTTATTCAAAAAGAGCTTGTGGTACGTCATGGGACATGCAGTCTGACCAAAGAGCCAGAGCAGCAGGAGAGAATGAGACTTGTTACGACCAAACTACTGTTCCTGTGGGGAATTTACATTCAAAAGCAGAATGCTTTAATTTGGTATTTCCATTAGGAAAAAAATTTCTAGAGAGATTTTAGTGCGGGAACTGCAACTCCTGTATGATGGGTGGGGAAAAGGCACTGAGTGCTTTGTGTGTCTGGATGGCTTCTTTGGGGCTCCAGTCATGGGCTAGGACTCAGGTAAGGCCTCTTTGGGTTGCCAGTCAGGAGAGTGTGTTGATTACTTCTGTGCTTTCCCTTTTCTTCAGAGAGGACCTTGATAAGCAGATCCTGGACATGCTTTTCTCATGGGCTCAGCAAAACTCAGAGGATCCTGACTGTGTGAGAAAGTTGATTACAGCCATGAAAGAGAGTGGTCGCCAGGACATCGCTGATGAGGTCAAAACCATCATTGAGCTGGGACGGCAGAAATACAGGGAGTCTATCCGCCGGGTGGGCTTGGAGCAGGAGAGCAGCACTGAGGACTCCGCAATAGCTATGATGTAGCACCTAGCAGAAAGAACTGGGTTTCGTATGGCATCCCTCTGTGTACCTGGAGCGACAATGTCTTGGGGCTGCTTCCACCTCAAGGGCCAGTGTCTTCCTGAGGAGCTGGACATTGATTTACTTGTGAGCAGACTACTGAGCTCACATGCCACTGCTGCCAATCCCAGGCAGTTCAGAGTGCATTTATAAGCCTATTCTGTACTTCCGCTTCTTGACCTTGAGCTTTAGATTTCAGAAACACAGAGAAATTCAGAGACTGAAGTGTCTGTCAGTTGAGTAGTGGCTAAAGTAGCCTTTAATGAATTAATACTCACGTTACGTATATTTATTTATAACTTATTCCTGAAACTGTGTTCTGCTGGAAACACTGGGTGTGAGCATTTGGGTCTGTTTGTGCTCCAGTGCTTGATGGGAAAGTGGAGGAGCAGTCGCATTATGAAGGCCTGCGAAGCGGTGGGGACTGTTCAGCTATTTCTGTTAATGGTGTGTTTTGCTCACATGAAAATGTGAACTGTATTCCCCATGAAAATTTTTTGTATTTTCTACAAAATCTCTTCCAGTTCCCTCAAGCCCAAACCAAAACCTAAGTATTCGTGAGGAAAAGAGAAGAAACTAATTTCTAGCAAAATAGCTCATGCTTTTTGGTTTTGCTCCAAAAGCTATTTTGGAACAAATAAAATTTCATATTGTCCCTAGGCTGCTGCACCTGCCAGGCTTTTTAGATGAGACCTACACACTCTGTCTTTGACAGAGTTCCAGTTTTAGTTTACAAATAAGTAAAAATCCATAACCCTGCTGTTCTGGGAGAGACTCTAATTTAAGTGAAAGTAAAAATTCCCTTGCAGTTTCAAAGGGATATTCCTCACATCTTCCCAGTGAAATATGCCCGTGTAGTAGTGAAGGTGTGACCCCTCCTGAAGTTTGGTGAAAAGCATGACTTAAATTTGCATTTTAAAAACTGGTCTGACCAGCTGTGAAATAGGCACTGTTGTGGGACTGGCACAAACTGTGCTGAGCTAACCTCCCCGTTTTGCAGTCTGAACATCTTGTATAAGGCTGGAAGTGTTTATTGCTTTTTAACTGCTCAATCATTGACTACTGAGGTGCCCTTCTCTTCCTGTTCCCCATCTCATAATGGGCCTCAACTCACGACCCACTAATGACAGTGGAAAGTTTCATGCAAGCTTTTTGAAAGACTACTGTTACCTACATAAATTCAACTCTTCCAAGACAGGTTTGGATTCAGCATATCCCACTCTCTAAGCAATATTTAAAGGGCTGTTCTCAGTCTAAAAAACAAAAGTCTGTATAAAAATGCCAGGTTGCAACACCCAAAGTCAACCAGCAGCTGCAGGTCTGAGAAATCCTGGTGTTTTCTTCCCCCTGTGAAAAATCATCTGTTGTTTCCCTGATCCTGTGTTTCAGACCTGCCATCAGGTCTGATCACTATTGAAAGAGAGGCATAAAATCATTCTGCTTTTTTTTTTTTTTTTCCAAGGCCATTCTAACATCTCAGCCCACGGAGTGATTGAGTTGTTGCCTTGGGCTTAGGGACTTCCTCAGATCTGATTTCTTAGGCCGTGCTGCCCCTCAAGTCTCATGTTGGGTTCAAGTCAGCAGTTCTCTTTTGAATGTACGTTTTTCCTGGTAGTCTGTGTCATATGTTCTTGTCTGTAATTTTGATGTATACCAATTAGGTATTTGTTCTTTCCTTCAGTTTTGGAGAGATGCATTTGGGCATATTGCTCTCACTGGAAATAAAATAAGCACTTAACTGTTTCACAGCATGGTCTGCTAATCCATAAATGCCTCGAGGTGTTAGACAGAGCCAGGTCCCTTTAAACCTGCTGGCAGAAAGACGCAGGTGAGCTTGTCCGTGCTGCAGAGAAATGGGGGAAGAGCTCTGGTTTGGGTACTGCTGGCTGCAAAGCGCAGGACAGACTGCAGCTGAGTTAATGCTATCCCTGTAGCTTGGCTTTGCTGCAGTGGGGCTAAGCCAGGAAACACGACATTCGGGGCACGGGTTTGACGAGCTAAGCATATGACTAGGGCTAGTCGAGAAGGGACAGCGCGTAGGCTTAGCCTAGCCTCCGGTGAAGATGCAGGAGGCTTTTGGCTAGGCAAAGCTAGGGTAAGGAAGTCTACAAGTAGCATAAGGTAGCATCCACAGCTACAATGGGATGAGGCTTTTTGTTTGCGATGGCCAGGCAACAGCTGAGTTAGACAATGCCGAAATAAGGGTTGGGTAGGCTGGACTCTATGGAGGGCTCATCCAGACATCGGCAGAACTACAGCTCTTCCAGATAACAGGTAGATTGGGTTAGGAGAGAGGCAGGTTAGTGCTAGGTGTTTAGGTTACTCTAGGTATGGGCTACAACCAGGCCAGGTCCACAAGTGATACCAAACCCTAAACAGCATCATCAGCAGAACAGCTCTTCAGGATTTGGGCCGATAACTTAAGGGAAGTTAAGTAACTACCCCAGGCAAGTATTGTTCTCTCTAGTCTTTCACTGCTGAGTGGTAGCTGCTGGGCTGGGCCACCTCACTGGCATCTGGTTTTCTCCTTGCAGTGACACCGAAGCAAGCACCCAGCTGAGGATATGGAAGTGCTGGCTTTTATCAGAGCAACCATCTGACTGCTCATTCCTTCAGCTGACTTGGCAGCAAATATTTGAGCTGGGTGAGAGTCAATGGAAAGCACGTTATTTTCAGGTGTGCTGTCTTCATCAATAATCTCTTTGAGGCACAGTAACTCCTTTGTAAGCCTGAGGTTGCTATGGCCAGGAAACGCTGATTACAGTTGCAGTAGATGGTTGAAGAAGCAAAAAAAATCCCAATGTGGCATTTATCTTTTGGATCAAAAGATTGCTTTCCTTTCTGGCTTCTTTCATGGATCCGTAACATACTGGAGAAGTCTCTTCCCCTTTCCAGCTATCTGGCTTTTCCTGGTGCCTATTAGGCACCTTCCAGTGTCCTAGTGATGATCTGGCAGATTTTGTGTTTTTTACTGTGCATGATCCTGATGCATCCAAAATTCAACCAGGAAAAGCCTCCTTACAAAAAATTTAAAAATAAAGGGAGAAATTGTTTGGGAGTGGGAATATTTTTTCTCCTCCTTTTTTGACTATAACATCTATGCCTCTTTAACTCTCATAATTAAACCCTTTTCTACTTCATAAACTTGCAGATCTCCAGCAGAATGACTGAGTGGCCCTGGAAGGTGAACAGTGTGTTTCCCACATACACCCTCCACTTCCAGGTTCTGCTAACCACGACAGTCCTCTAGCTGCCAGGAGAGAGATTCAGGTAAGAAGCTTCCAGCCCCTGCAAAGATTAATAAAAGAGATTGCTGAGAAATGAAAGCCCAGGCAAAGCTCAAATCAGTTTATTAATTCTATAAAAAACACAAGGCAAAGCCTGACTATATCCTGCAGGGGGTTAAACTGTTTACACAGTCCCAGCAGTAAAATGCTGTATAATTACCAGTAAAAGGTCTGAAGGAAATATGAAGGTGGGAGAGAGCCTGCAGGGGCTGCGTTCAGTTTGTCTGTGTACTGTGGCCAGACAGCAATACTGTAAAATTCAGCACATCCATAGGATTGCTCTGATAAGGGAAAGGAGATACCCGTGGTGCATTGAGGACTGGATGGTTCAGCCATGAACCTACCGAGCTTGATACAAAACTGACCTGCTGTTTGGTACCCTACAGTGTCCATACTTGACAGTGTCATGCTGCTGTTGCTTTTAAAAGGGAAAGGAAATCTGATGGTCCTTAAATTCACTGTTTTCCCCCAAAAGGAGGATCACAGCATATTTTCAGCCTTTAAAGCCAAGAGTAGCTTTCACTGGGAAAGGTGTGGGGCCGGTTTTCAGACACTGGTGCATCAGAGCCCGAGCCCAGGGCTGCCTCGAAGTAAGCCCACCATGCTTATCAGTTGTATGTTGGTAAAATGAAGAAAACAGCCTTTGCTACAATTAAGCGTGTGTCCATTTCCTGAACTCCGCAGAAATAAACTGTATGTTCTTGAAGCACTATTTTTCTGTAAATCTGTGTGGCTTGAAAATCCATGGGGAGGGTTTGATGCTTGTTCCAGTTCTCAGCTACCTTGAAGGAACTCGGTGACTGGGGAATGTAGAAACCAGGCAGGCACCATGACGATGGAAAATTTAGCCTTTACCCTTCCTGCCTCACAGTAGGTCTGTAGGTTAAACCATGCCGAAGGTTGCTTTGGGAGGCTGGGACTAAGATCCTTCCGCTTGGTTTGCTCATTGAACACCAGTGCAGTTCTTGTCTTTTCCAGACAAGAAATAGTGGAACTGGAAAATGTGCAAGGGGCAGGAAGGATGCTCAGAGATGAGTACTACGGAGTATTTTTAATTCTTTTTACAGCAGCGTATTACATGTCCTGGGAAAGGATAAAGACTGTGAATAGATGGTTGCCATCCACTGTTTCTCAACTAGGTGGCACCAAATGAAATAATCCAACATCACCTGCAAATAAGCAAAAGGAGGTACTTTTTTCCGCACTGTGCGTAGTTCTGACGCTGATTCATTGTTATGAGATGTTTGAGGCCAAAATATAAATGTTGTGTTCAGAAAGTAATTGGTTAAATTGGTGGGAAAAAAAATTGCAAACTAATTCAGAAAGCTGAATGCATTACCGTGTGGAAGGAGTGAGAGGTTGGGGCTGCCTTTCTCAGGCAGGAGATAAGACAGCAGCAACAGAGTATGTGAAGAAACAAAGCAGGCACAGGAGGCAGATCAGACGTCTCTACTTGCTTTCTCTAGAAAGGCAAGATGGTTGCAAGTCTCGCTTCTGCTTCTGCTGAAGCTGCCCTGTGGATAAGGGGAGACCACGCTTGCATGGGTCGGAGGCAGCTCTTGCCTGGACCCCTCCTCGGAGCCATGTGGCCAAGCTTTGCTCCTGGATTGAGAATTTCAATGGTGACCCATAACAAACCACCAGCACTGCCCAAAGGAAGAGACAGGATTTTTACCC